TGTTTTAAAACATGTATGTTATATCATGTTTAAGTCAGGGCAAGCATATTTCTTCAAACATTTGTCATTTTTTTATTCAGTGAAAACATTCAGGAATTCTTTCTTCTGGTTCTTTTGAATATAAAACATATTGCCTGTAGTTATCGTGCTGTGCAGTAAAACACCAGAACTTAGAAATTTGGAATGCTTCACAAATTTGCATGTCATCCTTGCTCAGGGGCCACTTTAAGCTTCTCTTATCATTCCTGTTTTACTATATTTAGAATGTAATTGGGTTCTCAATCTTTAGAGCTAAGTTTTGCATGTGATTTTTATTTTTATTTTTTTTTTGGACTTAGTTTATAAATCTGTGGATAGACAGATTTTTCTGTACTTAACTATATATTCACTCTTTTCTTGTACACATATGCACATAGTTTTATGGTTATAGTCAAAGTCTGGATATATTTTTACTTACATTGTTAGCATTAATAAACATTTCTCTAATATTCTATTAGACTTCATAATTATAATTGTTACTGGCTGTATAATATTGCATTTGCTCTGGGGTATTTGGAATTTTTAATACTGCAAATATGTTACATATGTCCCAGATACTAACTTTTGGAATCTTATTTAAATATTCTCTTTTCAGAAATGGCCCATGCGATCAAGATTATACATTGGTGCTACTGGTCAGTTTCTGAAGCATTCGGTCTCTGGAGAAAAAGCAAATCATAGCAACACTCCAACAGACTCACAGCCGTAGGGACTCTCATGGTGTTAGCTGGTAGAAGTGGTGTCTATTGTTTTTAAATACTATGAAAGAATTATAATTTATTACATCAAACATAACAAACATCATTTCTGAAAGTTTACATTGGAGCCCATAGTTTGATGTCCAGATTTATCTGTCTAAAGGTAGAATGAGGTAATCAATCTTATATAAAACATATTGTTTATCTATTCATTGTGAGAGTGATAGCTATATAGTACAAGAGAAACTAGTAGGAAAATACACACAAAAGGAAACAATTATGTATATATCCAAAGAAGACACACATTTTCTGTAGTATATCTATTGTAAATGTAAAAGCCAGTATCTATCAGTATAGTCTTTGTAGCTTAAAAAAAAAAAAATCCGTGTTTGTGATATGTCAGTATTCTATCTTTGTGAAGACCAAGAATGCATTTTAACTATCAGATTCAAGACCATTTATTTAGTTTGGCTTTATATATGCATAAAGTCTGTTGCAGTAGCTTCTATCACTAGTGATTTTCCCTGTTAGAAGATTTGTTTGGAGTATCAGAAATAATTTGCTCTATAGGAAATGCCCACCTTTCAAAAGGGTTATTCAGTATTCGGACATGACTTACATGTTTCCAGATTGTGAAAGGCACTAGGAATACAGGCAGCCAGTATGAAAAAGAGTCCGGGTGTCACTGGACAGCAGCTATCATCACACTTTCTCCTGGTCACACCATATCACTGCTTCTTTCAGGTTCTGAGCTAGGTGAGCAAGTTCAACTGTAGCCATTTTGGAGACAGTGGCCTTTTCAGGCCTTGTAGAGCCGTCAGTGAATCCCCCTGACCTTCCTCAGCCAGTGGTGGAGTCAGGTCCCTTCTCCCATCCAAGTACTAGCTGGGCTCCACCCTGCTTAGCTTCAGAGATCAGACGAGATCCGGCTGTTCAAGGTGGTATGGCCATAGATGTCAGATCCCTTCTCACATCAGCTCTTCATAATCTACCTTCATAATCATAATTTGGCCATTACAAAATGGGGAAAATCCTGTCTGATTTGGGAATTCTGGCACTGATGTGTGCCTTGAGGGGGATCTAAGGATACAGTGAGTGTCCTGAGTTAAATTCAGGCTGGAGCAGACCACTCCTGAATCTGCCCTAATATGAACTTGTAGCAGTAGGCCTCCCACTGCACTGTGCATCGTGAAGTGCTCAGGGAACAATGGATCTGACTGATCACACTAGTGGCTTTAGTTTGCAATAGGAACCTCCTGAAATTTGTGTTAAATAAAGGAGCTTTGCCTCTGACAATGTTGTTTTTTCTTTCTTCTTGTCCAGTTATTGTTTTAATGCCAAAGAAGTGTCATTTTGGTCATAGATTTTTATAACATTTTATTAAATCTTTAAATATGCTAATATTTAAAATATTTTAGTAAGTGGGAAATTCTCAGAAGGGAAGCTGCATGTGGTCTGAGCCATGAGTAGAGATGTTTGTCAGGGAACACACTGAGCTTGGAACAATGGAGTATAGCAGAAACACTGGGAAAGAATCAACATTGGTCCTCTCTTTGCTGACTTAGATTCCCTTTTATCACTTCTTGATTTTCTCCTCAGTCTTTACTCTTCCCTTTTCCAACTGTGAAGTTCATAATATATTTCTCATAACCTAGTTTTAAAGTTGCTGAATTTGATCCAAGATTAGCAAACAGATAGCAAAAATAATGATCTTGGTTGAATTACTATAACTATCGACCCACCATTTTATTTTCACCTCAGTTTTCTTCCAGCTTTTGGCAGTGAAATGAAGTAAAATATCATTTGAAGGCAAGAACTATCAGTTGATTCAGTACAGCATGACCAGGTTTTGGCTTATATCCAATAGTTTGTAACTTTTTATTATTTTAATGTGAATATCTTCCTTAAAATGTGACCAATAATAAAATCTTTCTACATATTGATATGTAACACAAATGTTTGTATATTTAAATATTTGTGACTATGTTTACCCATTCATCTAACATTAAAAAGAAATAAAAAATAAAATAAGATTTGGATTCAGCATTCATCATTTTATTGCCATAGGAGGTGCTTAACAGTTTTTCATCTTAAGGAATGCAATCAAAACTTTTTTAAAGTTACCTGAAACAGGCCTGTAAACACTAAATTTGATAGTAAGAATTTCAGAAAAATCGTTTTTTCACTAATGATTCTAATCAGTTAAACTACAGTTTTTATTTAATTGGAAAAAACTGATATTATTGGACTTTTCTAAATCATACTATTATATGGTATAGAGCCTTTTCCCTTTGATGGTATTTTTATTTCTACTTGTCCAGTTATAAATGACAAAGAAATGTTATTTCTGTCATGTTTTCATTACATTTTATGACATTGCTAAATATGTTAACAGCATTTTTAATATTTATTTATAGTTGTACTTGGACACAATACCTTTATTTATTTATTTATTTATTTATTTAATGTGGTGCTGAGGATCGAACCCAGGGCCTTGCACATGTGAGGCGATTGCTCTACCGCCCAGCCACAACCCCAGCTCTCACCCACCCCCACCCCCCAATGGCTTTTAATAGGTTGGAAAATCTTAGAGGAGAAGTTGCAAATTTTCATCCAAAGGTCCAAAGGAGCATGCTCTTTTAATTAATGATGCACAGTCAGGATAAGGAGTATTATTAAAATAAAAGGAAGCACTAATTTGAAAATTAGTCTGTTTATTTTGCATCTATCTCTTGGAATATTTAACAAACATTGATGGTACATTTGAAAAAAAAAATTTTTTTTCTTTTTTTCTTCTGGTACTAAGGATTGAACCCAGGGGGCACTCTACCACTGAGCTACATCCCCAACCCTTTTTATATTTTAACTTTGAGACAGGTTGCTAAATTTCTGAGGCTGGCCTCAAACTTTCCATCCTCCTGTCTCAGCATCCCAAATGGCTGGGATTACAGGTATGCAGCACTACACCCAGCTGAAGATCTTTCTAGAGTATAGATACCTACCTAGCTTCTTCACCATGTTGTCCTTAAAATATTATATACTAGAACTAGGGAGAGGATATATTTGGATCACAGTATTTATAACCCTGTAATCTGTTGGGGGAAATCCTCAGTTAAATTTCTTTCAGTTCATTTGGCTTTCCTAGTGATATAACACAGTTACATTTATTTTAAATAATTATAATAATAATTTGGGGGGCTTGGGAAATGCTTTTTTAAAGGCAAAACCAGTTCTGACTAAAATATTTTTTTCTGACTATAAAAATATAGTGCCATCTAGTTTATTATTCATTGATTACACATTAATAAAAGTACATTTAAAAGCATATATTCACTTGTTTTAAATATAAACAACAAAAAGAAGTGAGGCAGAAAGTAAGAGTCCTGTTGTAGAGATGTCTGGAATAAAGTTGGGGATTATGTGCTCTATATCACTTGGTAATGAAGAGGAGTCTTGCATTTTTATAAGGCTTGTTTTTACTTTATTTTATTTTTAAATTTTTTATTTGTTTTCATTAGTTATACATTATAGTAGCATACATTTATGCTCTTTGATACACA